AAGAAAAGACATAATCATTTTTCTTCCATGTCCAAAGGGTCGCCGCAATGATCATTGTCGTGCTCTCGCCGTTGCAAGCTTGCACATCTTTGATTGTTATATAATGAATACAACTTGTTTTGAGGTCTATATAAGAGTTAAAATATTAAACCATTCAGAAATAAAATCAGTATCATCACATGATTTCAGGTTTTCAGAAGAAACAAAGTGCCAAACTCTAATAAATGCTTATGAAATATTTCCAAATAAATTACAAGTATATGATTTTCGTTTCATTATTGAGACTGATTCGATTAGTTGGACAATCAGCGATAACTGGAGAAGAAGTGGAATTGTTTTTTGCGTAAAACAATGATATAAGAAAAATAGTGGTTTATAAATCTTGCCAACTGGAGAAGGTAGTGAACTTGGTGTGTTCAAACAAACAAACAGACAAGAGGCTGTGGTAGCTGATGAACATGCTGTTATAGATAAAGAAATATACCAGCACCTCAAGTCAAATGTATTAGACTATGCCACGGGATGACATTTGAAATAATTGTATGTAACGAATCATCCCTTTGTTATTTAGCCAACAGACTGAATGTGCATATCTAAATACATGTATTTAATTGTATAAACCTATTTACAGAGTAATGGACTTTTGACGGAACAATTAATCAATTCCTGGTCAGGTTTGATCTTGACCAGGAACTGTTTGTATAAATAAAGCTCTACAAGTCATTGTCTTGACAGGGAATTTGTTCTGGTGTCGTAATAGTGAAACGTCCCTCCAGTACTTTCGATTTTAAATGAAATCAATAAATCAACTTGACAGCTCCGCGACTCGACTACATACCTAGCTGTATATAGCTTGAGCCTTGCGGCCACATCTGTCAACAGTGCATATGTCGAACTCATTTTACTGAAATTGTTGCAAAACGGTTTCGGAGTGATTTCTATGGTATTAATGAATGAATAACAACAGATCACTTTCACCATATGCCTGTGTATTTAACTGACGGAGATTGTCGTACTTGTTCTGTATTTTTTGTAGCGCACTTAACTAAAATGTGGTTAAAACTAAGTTAGCTCTCCATATTTTTAACTAGGCCTTATGATTTTTTACAGTGTTGATAATCATAATATGTCAGTCTCACAAAACAAAACTTATGTAGGCCTAATTAAGGTAGCCTTTTTTTTCTTAATGTTCAAAGCACGAATACAATGGTGAAGTTAATTAATAAGCAGTGAATCTGATTCATAAACTATTTAGCTATCCGTCAGGATTCCTTTTCTATTTAAAGAACAGGAAGTGACGCAAATCTTCCAGACGCATCGAGAAAGTTCGGGAAACACCGAGAACGGAAGTTGCCATATATTTAAGTGAAACGTCAGACGGGAGTAGGTCAGTTAGAAACGTAACAGGTTTGAGCATATAGTCTGTGCTGTGAATTACACTGTGCAACATGGGGAAGGACTTTTACAAGATTCTTGGTGTGACCAAGGCATCAACCGACGATGAAATTAAAAAGGGATACAGAAAAATGGCGCTGAAGTATCACCCCGACAAAAACAAGTCACCTGGAGCAGAGGAGAAATTCAAGGAGATAGCCGAGGCATACGATGTACTTAGTGACAAGAAGAAAAGGGAAATATACGATAAGTATGGCGAGGACGGTCTGAAAAATGGTGGTCCCTCAGGGGGCGGGGGTCACCCTGGCCCGGGTACATATAGCTACTCGTTCCAAGGAAACCCTCACGAAACTTTCCGGATGTTTTTCGGTACTGACAATCCCTTTGATAACTTTTTCCACTCCGGATTTGGTGGTCAAGGTATGGGTGGGCCCCGCCAGTACCAGTTTGGACATCCTGGTCAAGAGGATATGGACATTGATGATGATCCTTTTGGATTTGGTGGGCAAGGGATGCACGGACACCATATGGGGCCGCACGTGCGGGGAAGGAAACGTCAAGACCCACCTGTTGTCAAGGACCTGCCTGTATCTCTGGAAGACATTCATAGAGGAACGACTAAAAAACTGAAAATCACAAGACGAGTTTTAAATCCAGATGGTAAAACAACAAGAATAGAGGACAAGATATTAACAATCGATGTAAAACCAGGCTGGAAGGCTGGTACTAAGATCACTTTTCCGAAGGAAGGGGATCAGTCACCAAACAGTGTGCCAGCAGATGTTGTTTTTGTGATAAAGGACAAACCACACACACAGTTTGCGAGGGAAGGTAGTGATATAACATACAAAGCAAAGATTCCACTACGAGATGTAAGTATAAAAAAACGCAAATATGTACCCATGTAGACTAGTGCACACCCAACTTAAAGGGAAATGAACTACACATTTTGAAAAATCACCCTCAAAACATGTTATAAAACTGTAAATTATAAATTGGACAAATCGAAATGTATTTATAGATTTGACATGATATTATTGTTTTCATTGTATTTGTTAAACCATGGTTAGTGATAATTCAGAAAAGATGAAAGTTTGGAAAAGATGAAAGTTTTATTTATACTAAAACTCATATTTAATTTGAATGGAAAATATCAGAGCTCATTATATATTGAATCAACACAGTAAGGGGTAACCGTAATATATCGGTAAAAGAGAATGTACACTATTATAGCCAAAATCATCCTGTTTGTTGTTAAACAAAGATATTGATATCCCTACATGTACAATACACATTCTTGTGGTAAATAGAACATTCCAGAGATATTTATTGTAATAATGTATGCATAATACCCTACAATTCAACTTGTAACTCACAATACACTCTTTGTTACAGTCGCTGTGCGGCACAACAGTTCAAGTACCTACAATCGACGGAAGGAAAATACCTCTCAGATTAACAGATGTAGTTAAACCTAACAGTCTAAAACGAATACAGGGTGAAGGACTTCCACTTCCCAAACAGCCCAACAAACGTGGGGACTTGATAGTTCAATTCGATGTGACATTTCCTAACCACATATCTTCTACAGCCAAGGAAATTTTATCTGACTGCTTGCCCAGGTGATAAGTGGGGCAGTATGACAATTGTAGCTCTGTAGCATTTGTGATCACTTGGGACGACACTAACAGAGAGACGAATCCCAAGTATGTTACTTGTATGTGTCCTAATTCAAGAAGTACATTTGTTCGCTGTGGCATTACATTTTAACTAACACATGTGGAAATGTTAGAGACAGTGCTTTTTATGTCAGGATTTGCTTTTGATACAATAATCGTGCACACCTGTAATTGACCTAACCAGGCTATGCTGTCGGAGCCATAGACACACAGCCATGCATGAATCACAATTGGAGTGGAACATATGTTACTTAGGATTGTGTGGCTATTATGTCGAATCTTGGAAGGGAGTGATTGAAATAACAAATTGTATCCTCATTATGTATAATCATGAGGTTCACTCCCAGTTAAGCTCTTCAGCAGTTTAATAGTTATGTGTATAAAAGCTTTGCTTGTAAATTCCAGCACTCGTGAGGCGAGTCGTGTTCATATGAACATTGTGGGAGTTTAAATCTTGAAATACAACTTGATCTCTATTGTGAGAGAGAAAGTTTAAAGGCGTACAATAAAGTTTACAATATATACCCAGTAAGCTGATCGCCCACTATGTTGCCTAGCCCTTGTTTGGCTATCGACACGCCCTGTTTTATTTACTATGTACAGCAGTGAGCTATGGGGTAAAAATAGCGCCAAATTTGTTTAAATAAATTATAAGTTATTTAACTGAAATCTAGTCTGATTAAATCTAAAATTTATTGGTGTTGTAAGATTATACCATGCTTGAATTAACAGTTCAAAATTAATTGCCCCGTGAGGTCACTATACTGTTCTTGTGTCAAGTGTCCAATATAATTATATTTATTGTATATGTCTGTAATAATATAGATATATATTTGTGTTAAAAGATTACATATATGTTACTGAAGATCGTTTCAGAATAAATTCATAAGTTAAAGTAACAAATTAAAGTTAACTTAAATTACAATGAGATTGGTGTTCAATCACCATCAATGCAGACATCAATGCAGACATTGAGTACATTTGCACTAAAAGTTTACAAGTATTATTTCCGTGGTAAGCAAGACTTATAGAAAATAGGTGGGAATACTGCTAACATTGTTATAATTAACTGTATATACGTTTTTATTTTGGGATGAATTGTTTGTTTATTTGGGTATTTAAGTTGTAGATGACATGTTTGTACAGGAGCTCGATCTATATAGGGAAAAGTCATTGTTCAAACATACATACATAACTCGAAGTCCAGTATAGCTAGGTAGCTATATAGTTATTATTAGAATGATGTAGTCAAATATGTCGCTCACCTCCTGGGACATTTTCTAGAGTTTTAACATCAGTGTCTTTAGCCCCCATTATTTATAAAAGATTTAACTGTTTTAGATTTCCTATCACAAAACGTCTGACTATTAGTTATATATAAAAGTATTTATATATGCGAGATGAATATCTGATTAACAGTGCCTAGTACAAATGACCCTGTTAAATTCCTTAAGACATGACAGTAGACGGGACATTGATGAGACAATTTGGGTTTAACAACATAGATGTGTAACTATAATTTATACCAATAAAATCAAAATATGTAAATTTTGTTTCCCAAATTTTGAAATCATGCCAAAATTTCTAAATGTTCCAAGAACACACGGTCTCTGATCATGTAATGCATGTATCTATAGGTCTGGGTATACTATAGGTATTTACTGACATATATATATATTTTCTATACTAGCTGAGGTCATGGGAACATGATTAAACCTGGGGGTTATGAAGGTTTATATAGGACTATGTATATACCTGCTAGGTAATCGGGGGATCAGTGAGATAGGGCTCCATAAATACAGAAGCTGAAGGCCTCTCTACTCTAGACAAATGTGTACCTGCCAGTACTATTTTTCACTGGTATTCTTAGTGATGTGCCCACACATCTCACTGGTTTAAACTGTGCCTGGGGTACTGGAGGAAGGCCAGTGTGTCTCACATTCAGTACAGCTCTGCCTAAACATCATTTGTAGAGGTGTCCCACGTATCGCCTGGAGGGGGGTCCATAATCTGTTGGCATCCTCTAAAACCTGGCATGTCCGCTCAAGTAGTCGCTACCTCATTAATATTAATCACTTGTACACATATATAGTTATAAATACACAATGCTGGAAATTTGTGTTATATCACAATTAAATAAAAGTCAGATCTGATCCTAAGTTATGTACCGGAGACAGAGTGAGACTGAATTGGAGGCTGTATTAGTCGAAGACGAGGCCATGTGTTACAGGTTTCTGTCTGATTCACCATCACTCTATCTGTAGAATGTATGGTTAGGCAGCTAACAGCCTATCCTAGTCATATTATTTTGCTGATTTTTTTTTGTGTTACTCTTTTATTTATATAAGATATGAAAGAAATTGTCGATGCTATATAGCAGTATTTGTGTGTGATTTAGTGCAAAAGATTTGGTGAAAGTTGAGTAATCGGAAATGAGAGCTAGTCGATATAAATGTGTATGGCAGCAATTCATTTCATTATACTGTATAAATAAAGAGGCTTGTTAAATTGTATTCCTTGTTTGTATTATATTTATATAATGTACACGTACATATAGTGTATTGAAACTCTAGTAATGAAGTCGAAGGACTACCTATAGCTACATGCTCATACAGTTCCACTTGTGTCACGGTGTTCTGTAGTTTAGTTTACACAAGCTAAACACCAAAAGTGTTACAAAAGTACACATCTGTACTTGTTTTGTACAGCTGAGTGGACTGGAAGAATTATGATAAAATTGTTTTATGAAAGAGGAAATGGAAGTACATGATCCATGCAGCAGATGATGAAAACAAAAGTTCCAATTCAGTGATGGAACTGTTCTACCATGCAGGAGTCGCACATAAATTGTGTGACCTGTATATATTGTGACCTAAATCTCACATGGCATGTCTCTGTTAACTCCCACAACTCTAAGGCTGACATGGCTATAAAATAAAGAAAAAGCCTAGAGCTTCTTTACAAGTGAGTCATCTTCCTTTTAACACGATGTCGTCCCGATGATGGAGAATTCTATCATCTAAAGCCGGAAATAAAAGTTCTTGGCTATATGCATTGTTTAGCTTTAGAAAAACGAACGTGCTTACAAATGTTTCCCTGGAAAGATACCAAACTTGCATTTACATTTTGTGAGAATGTAAAACCATGAACAAAAGGGCTACAAACAAACTCCCCCCATGTCTCTCCCCTAGTTTAAAAAATATACTAAGTGGGCATGAGGCTTGATATATATTGACTATACAAGACCTTAGAATGGGATATTCTCCTTTTACCAATGACTAGGATATATTCTCCTTTGACCATAGACTGTGATATTCTCTTTTTTCTGAAGAACTTCCACCTCCTTTG